AACCTGATCAATTCATCCTAGTTTGAATGTAATGGGTGGTGCCTGTAGGCAAAGTGGGGTGCAACTAGAGAAGGTAGGTCACTGGAAGTATGCCCTGGAAAGGTTTGTCTTCCTTGTGCCCCTTCCCCACCCTTTTTGCTTCCTATTTGTCATGAGGGGAGAAGCTTTCTTATACAATGCCCTTCTATCATTATGTTCTGCCTCATGTTAGGCCCAGAGCAATGTATTTGGCACACCGTGGAATGAACCTCTGAGATCGTGAGATAGGATGAACTGTTTTCTTCTTTTAACTTGTTGTCAGGTATGTTGTTTGCAGCAAAGAAAAACTAACAGACATTATTAATGTCACTTACTAAATCTGTCACTTAAGCTTCAGTGAGTCCAAAATGAATTTGTGCTTATATGGTATGTGTTTCCATGTATATAAAACATAGACTATATATTCTTTTCTCTATTCCTCTTCCTCTGAACCCCTTGAAACTTTACCCCCATTACTCTGTGATTCTTCTTTGCTAGAGCCATTGCCCCACACTCTTTCAATCACCCTCAGTGATTTGGAATAGAAGGAGACAGGTAGTTATAGAATGGAAATCGGAAAAGAGAGACCTTACTCTGTGTCATGAAATATTAGGATATTCTTGATAGCTTTCCATAGCTGTGACAAAATATCTGAGCAAAAAAAAAAAGGCTGAAAGATTTATTTTGGTTCACAGTTTCAGTCCATAATCAGTTGGCTACATTGTCTCTAGACATGTGGTGAGACAGACCATCATGGTGGACAGGTGTGACAGAACAAAGCTGCTCACCTCATGACAGCTAGGAAGCAGAAAGAGAGGCCAAAAGTCCCTGAACATTGCTGTATTATAGACCAAGCCTCCAACACATGAGCCTTTGGGGGACACTCCAGATCTAAACTATACACACCCATATCCAATTTTGAATATTGTCAATATTGACATTTGACTATGTTGACTTATTTGATTTTTATGATTTCTTAGCAATCAGGCAGACACTGGAAAAATTGAAAAATGCAAAAAAAAAAAA